TGCAAAGCCAGGCAAGAGGTAAGGGTGTATGTGACTGTGCCCACACTGGCAAGGAGGAGTCCTGGCTGCTTTCTGAAATAGGGCAGGTGAGGTCTCTGGCTGTGTCTGTGACAGCACAATCAGTACAAACATCAGGATTTGGCACATGGGCCAGGAAGCACTGGCATGGGAAGGCAGTGTCTGGCCCTGCTTCTAGAAAGGACGCTTCTTGTAAAAAGAATTAAGCATAAGGCAAGGCATACCTGGGAGATGATTCAGGTTGTTGAAACCAACTGGGATGTGCTGAGATTTTTCTCCTGCAACCTGGAGCAAACCTTTTCTTGTAAACTGTGGATACTGCTGGAGACGATGTATGACCTGAGGCTTTTCAGAGCAAGTGAACAGCCACCAGAGTTAGTCCTTCACATTGTCAAGAGTGGAACATATAGAATCATAGAATTGTTCAGGTTGGAAAATACCTTTCAGACCATTAAGTCCAGCCACTAACCTAGCACACATTGAAGAAGTTTCTTGTTGGCAGGTTTGTTAATGTCTCTGGCACTTATGGGAAGTGACAAAGGGAGAAGCAGATCAACCGATGTTTCAAAATGCTGCAATCAACTGCTAAAAAAGTCTGAAACCAAATTTCATCTGTTTGTCCCTATTGGATGTATATACCCTGTTAACTTTCTGTGCTGGTGACAGTAAGCCAAATAAGCAGATGCTGGCAGTAGTAGAAACCTTAAATTACCAAAACAAGAAAAAGGAAAGTGAGTCCTCTGATGAACTCCACGAGATAACACCAGTGACATCATCTCAGGCATGTATTTGGTGATGATGAAATAATAAGGCTACTGTATACTTTATGAATCAGATACTATGCTGGGTTAAAAGTTTATCCTTGCGATATGTTCAGTACTGTCTTTATAAATAAATGAAACACGTCTCTGGATTGCCAGTAAATAGGTGTGAATTTTGCCCTAAAGCAAACAATGAAAACAGTTATTAGGAAAGTACATCTGTGCCCACATCAAGTTTTGTCTTGCCCCAAACCTTGCCCTATTTCCTCTCTGAGCACTGGCAGACCATCCAAGCGCATTGGCAGGAGGCCCAGCTCCGCACCCTGTGCTTGGCTGGCCACCACAGAACAGCACGGGCAACCAACCCCCACAAACTGCAGAGGCAGGAGAAAATGCAGGCCCGGGAAAGGGAGAGCCTTTGGGCTTGTGAGCAGCTGGGGCTTGTAATCCCCCTGGGGCAACCTTGCGATGGTAAGAGGTGAGCAATTTCACAGAGCAGCTGTCATATTTAAAAGGTAATTGTGCAAGGAGGAAGTGGGTTTGAGGAGGCAGTGGCTGTGATTAGGTGTTTGCAGAGGTTTGGTTCACTGAGAGTGGGCTCACAGAGTGGGCTCCCTTAGTCCTACCTTCCGACTGTCCTACATTGTGGTCACAAAGTCCTAAGCACAATCAGTCCACAGATCTGCCACTAGCATTGTGTCTCTCCTGAGCTCTTCTTCCCTGTGCTTGCCTGGGCTCTGTGCCCAATATCCTTGTCACCCTGGGACACATCAGGCAGCCCCACAGACCCCTCTTGCCCTGGCCTGTGGGTTTTCTAGTCCTTGGGCTCCTGCTTCCTGGTGGAATTGTGTCACCATGTGGAGTGACACCAGGGTATGTTCTGCACTGGGCAGCTGAGCAGATGCCAGCAAGTTGCCTCACTGCTTGGCACCTCCTTGGGGAGACCTGCCTTCAGCCTCAGCTCTGGTTGCCCAGGGTGCCAGCCCTTTATAGCTTTCCTGATTCACTTAGAGAGCTGAGCAAATATCTGCAAACAATGATAAATCCTTCTGCCGATCTCTTACCACTGTCCCTTTCTGGCCTGGCACCAACTCCTCCCAGTCCTCAGTGAGTGTTGCTCAATTTGCTTAATTTAATGGAATACCACATAGATTGAAACAAACATCCCTGAGGCCAGTCTGGATCCCTTGGAAAACAATAACTGACTGTCAGCTGAGAGAACAGCTCTGAAGTTACAGATGTTGCCGGGGAAAATCTATTAAATCAAACCTCCCCAACTACTTACTGCCAGAGACTGTTGGATTCTATGTTCATGCTTTCCCATTTTGATAGCTCAATAAGGAAACTGGATTCCTGGGCTTTCTATTGTCTGAGCTGGACAGCAGTGGAAATCATCTGCACTTTGCCAAGCATGCTCCAGCTTTCTTTTATTCTCTTGCTAGTGAAGCTGAAAGGCAATAGCTGTGACTCATGCTGGCTGACGAAATGCACGTGGTTTCTAAAAACCACAGGCTCGTTATCCATTACTGCTGATAACCATTTGTGGTAGAAATTTGGTGACTTTTGCATGGATGTGAAATGGCCTGTAAATTAAGTGTTTCCCATCACTTCCTGTAAAAAGAAGCAGCCTCCATCTGTGTCACCATCAGTAATTTCTTCTCGACTGGAGAGCAAGAGCTCTGATGGGAGGAGTAAGGTCAGCTCCTTCCCCACAGATGGCCATGGCTCTTACATCAGCTTTGACATCCTGGCTTTTGTTTTATGTGAGTGGGGAGAGCAGGAAAGAGGAGAGAGAAGAGAAGGAGTACACGATGGTCACCCCTGTATTTTGTGCAGTAGCGTGTGTTAAACACAGGACACAGCAGTGAGGGAGATTGCTTTAACAGAGGGTCAGTAGTCCCTGGCTGATGACTCTGTCCTGTCAAATGTGTCAAGGAGGCCCACGAGGTCCCATTTCAGTGACGATGAGCTCAGAAAGGAAGTGGAATGCGTTGCCTCTCTGGAGTTAGGGATTGTCTCCAGAAACTGCCTAGTCCAGCCTTGCACTTCAACACTTCCAGCTTCAAGGGGTGATCTAAACTCTCAGAGCACTGACCTGGTTGAACAGAGTTGTAAGATATGACTCCAACTCTACCTATGAACTCCTACAAGGCCTTAACAGCCCCAGAAACAAAAGGCAGTGTTTTCTGTATCAAAGAGAATTTTAATCTCATGGAGAAAGGGATCTCCAGATACAAACAGAAGCTGACAGTATGGAAAGTTACTCATGAGGACTGTCAGTCCCTCAAGTAAATAATCTCAGGAATTGAATTGTTTCAACCTTTATTTCAATACAGGTGCATGTATATGTATATACATAGGTCAGTCTAGTTCAGCCTGGAAGTGCGGTAAATCAGTGTGTGAAATGCCCTGTCATGCTTTGAAAAGGAAGAAAGGGTGTAGCCTTCTGAGGAACAAATCTATTTGTGTTGTCTAGGCTAAATCTTTCTTGCTGCCCTGTGCACTCCTGTCCACACCACTGACACAGCCTGCCCTGTCTGCATTAGCCCACACCGGGAAGGGTATCCAGCCCTGGATACCCTTGTGGACACTTGAAATGAAAGCTGAAGGGTTAAAAAAAAAAAAAAAAAAAAAAAAGGAAATATGTGAAAATTTCATGTAGTTTTCATACCACTAGAAATGTCTTCTCAAACACTGGGTATGTATAATTCACCAGTCACCTCCACCTCCCTCGTCCCCCAGGCCCCACCTCCAAGGGACACGAACAAGCCCAAATGTTACAAAAGAAATTTTTATTGTTTTTTAGGAAGGGAAACATATTCTCACTTTAGCTGGGAAGTGTTGTGACAATCCCCAGCTTAGGGGCAGAATACAGCTGTCTTTGGTCCTGGTGGTGCTCAGCGTGGCCAGAGACAAAAGCCCAAAATGTCCCTTAGAGTCAGGGAGGAGCATCCCGTGGGTGCAAGGGAGGCCACAGCTTCCCAGCTGAGAGGAGAAAGGCTGCTTCTTGGCGCTGCATGAATAACTGCTTCAGCCACAGAGGTTTCCCCTGGGTCTGTGGCCTGGCCCAGGTGCGAAAGTTCACAGCATAAAGCATATGGAAAAGCTCTCCAAGGCCTCCAAGAGTTCCTTAGCTGCCTCCCTGTGGCATCCAAGCCTGCAGGAGTGCTCAGCCAGGAGTGGGTCACTCTGGGCTGGTTCCTGGAACACTCCAGGGCATTGGGAGCATCTGCTTAGTGCTGACATCCTGGTCTGAACCCTTCCCAGTGTTTTCAAGAAATCTGATGCCTATAAATTCCTATGCCTATCATATAAATACATAAATACTTTAAACTAAAGGCTTTGGAGCGTACAGCCTGCAGTGACACGCTGAAATGTTGATGGAGTTCGTTGGGAGACACATAGTCTGCTTGCCCTTGGTACCTACCTCACTTGAACAGTCTCTGGCTGTGCTCAGGTCATGTGCTGCCTGCAGTGTGGGCAGGGCAGGACTTGTCCTCAGCAGCCCCAGGCTGTAATGAGAACAGGGATGTGCACACCGGTATGACAAGGTCTGCTGCAAGGCTCACAGGAACCATCTGAGTACTCCCCAAGGAAAGGATGCACAGACCTGCAGGTTCCACTCGGTCCCTTAGAAAGAACCCACCAAATCCAGAGTCTTCATGTTTTCCTGAATTTTTATGTGCCAGAATAATTGAAGCTAGTGTGTGAGTGTGTGCTTGAAGATTTTCCTCTGAAGGCTGGTGTCAAGATGTGAATGTCCTACCAGATATTCCCTTGGCTGAGGCTTCAGCAGTCTGCAGATAACTGGCTCAGCCAGTGGGTCTCTGGCTCTCAAAATCTTCTCCCCAAAACCCCATAGTCACTGCAGAACCTGTGCTTCTGCTGTCCAGTGCAGTCCTATCAGCTCCTTTCAAAGTATCACCTTCTTTCATGGCCTTTACCTGTCAGAGAGCATTTCTCTGGATCACAGCAAAGGAAGTCCCTTGCTGCCTTTTCCCCGTCTCCCGTCTGGCCAGGCAAAGGTCTGTTGACCAGATCTGTTCTTCTCCTACTCCAAATGGCTTCGAGCCACCTGAGGTATTTTCCTGACTTGCAAGACTTTTATTTGAGCAAACATACAGCACATTTGTCCTATATACAGGTACTGTCCAGTAAACAGAGAAACCCAGGGTTTCTCTGAATATGAGCTAAGCTTGTGTGACTTTCTTTGGCTTTAATTTCTGTTCTCCTCAAGGGCTCTGCACATCCCCTTCCCCAGAGCTGGAAAGATCCATCCTAGGTAAATCAGCTGCCCAGAGCTCCAAAGACATGAACGTGGCACACACTATATAAAACCCATTTGCACTGTGGTTTATCTGCCCTGTAGCTGGGGCTTTCCACAGCCCCAAGGAGGAAGGCTAGAGCAGTCTGTCTGTACAAGTACAGCTGGTGAGAACAGTCATCCCACAGGCAAATGGATTGGTAGGCAAGGCTGTACTTTACATGTTGCCTTGCATATGTCAGCTCCTACAGAGAGTTTCTTCAGGGGGGCTTACTAACACCAGGCTGAGCGACAGACCGCTGATGTTGGCGTTGGAGCTGGTGCACAGGGTGACGTAATCGTCACGGAACAAGAAGAACACTGTGGTGAGGTTCACTGTGTCGTCACTGCTCTGGACAGTCTGTATCCAGAGGACACTGCTGGTCGATTTCTGTGTATTCTTCAGGGTCAGCTTCAGTAACTTCTCCTCCGGGTAGATGGAACCGTTCAAGGACACCAGGTAGAGGCCATCACAGGGGATCATGATGGAACCATTTCTGATCTGAATAGAGCCTCTTTCAGCAGTGAGATTTATGGCTACTCCTTTGATGCTTTTACCTGGAATAAAAGAGAGAAAAGATGGTCCCATGATTACAGCTATCTTCTGGGAAATAGGTTGTTTTATACCAACTGACTGCAGGAAAGATGAAAAAATAGGGGAAAGGAGAGAGTGAACTAAAGAATAGGGCAGACCAGAGGTAGAATAACATCTGCTCTAGACAGACATCATCTTCTGTGGAAATTTACAGGCTCTTTTGATTAAGCTGTGACTTTTGCACTCAACTCCAGTTTATATGAATTATTCCTCCAAATTTCTATTTATGCACCATTTCCTTACTATATGTCTTGCTTAAAACACAGAAAAATATATTAAGTAAAGTATCTCTATGAGTTTAGGAAGCACAGATTCCTAAAAAGGACAGGAAAATGAAGACAGTAAATAAGATGAGGAAAAAGTGTTCAGAGTTGAAAAGAAGACAAAAAGTGCTTTCTGTGGAGATGCTGGTAACATAAGCCCTTTTCTTGGGGTTTGGTTCTGGGTTTTTTTAAACAGAAGACAGGACAAAATAGCAGCACACAGACAGAAACAGAAAAATCTAATTAATACAGAGTAGAAACATGAGAAATTAAACTGGAACCGAGCATGAATGTTTTCTCTTGGAACGAACAGTAATAGTTCCCAGGGCTATGCTGTTCATGTTTCCCTGCTGTACTCCTCATTTTTCAGCACACCAGCTGAACCCCCCAGGACCAGGGGACTCGGAAGGTCTCCAGGCAGGCAGCACCGACCCTCTGGGCTGAGGCCAAATTTCTTAAGCTTTTCCTTTAAAGAACATGAATTTTTATTAGGTTAGACTCAGTGCTGCCTCACACTGTTAACGGAAAGTAAAATGGTCAACAATATTTTTAGTATGATTTAAAACTTTTAGTAGTTGGTTTGAGGTATGTCATGGGACAAACATCCCACATGGCCAGGCATGCAGGGCGGTGCTACTTCTGGCACGGTGTGTTCACTCACTCCTCCCCAGGAAATCATTTACATTTTTCATACATCAGGAAACCATTGACTTGTTTCAGAAATACCCCAGGAGCATGCTGTGTGTACTCAGTAAATTCTCAAAAACGCATTTCTTGTTCATTCGCGGAGTGAAAGCTTTTTTTAGGAGACAGGTTGCAGAAATCCACACAGATGTTCAGATTTTTTGTTCTACTCTGGGAAAACCCTTTTCTTTCATTTTTGCCCCGTGCAGTGCTGGGGCCAACTTGATCCCTTTCTCCCACAGCAGCTCTCCTGGCACCGTCCTCCATCAGAAGAAATAGCTGTCACTGTGCCACGAAACACATAACAGCTACTTAGGCATTTTAGGATCATTGGATGCCACAGTGGTCCCTGGGACCACGGGTCAGTGCACAGTAGAGTGGGGAGCCAGGAGCCGTTCCTCTGTGCCAGGGGAACATGGTGCAGTGGTGGGTGCTGCACTGGGAGAATCAGGGATCATGGAGGGGCCCCCTGCCCCAACACCACCCACCTGAGTACCGGATGTGGGTCCACGGCACTTCGATGCTCTGAGGCTGGAAGAAAAAGAGAAATCCATGTTAAGGAACCTGATGGACACCCTGCTGCTGCCACTATCATTTTTGTTTCCCAGCCAGGATTGGGGCTTCACCTCCATAAGCACAGCAGGCAGCCTCAGCTGGCACAGCTGCTGCTAGCCAGCTATGCTCCATACTTGCTTTTATATCATTACTATAAAACATGATTTTAGTGGGGTTCCCAGCCAGTGAGGCCTCCAGCCCAGTGCTGAGCCCTCCAGGCAGTGTTGTTCCTGTTTAGAAAACCATGCTGGTGACTGTAATCGAGTCAAACCAAACCGTAAGGAAGGACCTCAGGGTGCAGAGCCTCGAGTCTGACTTACAGCCAGGGGCACCTGGCAAACAGGCAGGTCTCACCCTCCTGCAGGGCACCAAGAGGTGGGTCTGACTTTATGGTTCCTTGCACTTTGGATTGGGCTGTTACTAGATGTGTGTCTCTTACAGGCTATTAAGTGTGTTAAGATGTGTTTAAAATAGATTGGAGCACCTCTACTAAGAAGGCAGACTGAGAGGTTCTGGGGAACAGAAGGCTCCAAGGAGTCCTTAAAGCACCTTCCAGTATCTAAAGGGGCTACAAGAGAGCTGGAGAGGGACTTTTGACAAGGGCTTGGAGTGATAGGACAGGGGTGAATAGCTTTAAACTGACAGAGGGCAGGTGTGATAAGATATGAGGAAGAAATTCTTTACTGTGAGGTGGTGAGACACTGGCACGCATTGCCCAGAAAAGCTGTGGCTGCTCCATCACTGGAAGTGTTCAAGATGAGGTTGGATGGGGCTTTGGCTTTGAGCAACCTGGCCTAGCTGAAGGTGTCCCTGCTCATGGCAGGGGGACTGGAACGAGATGATCTTCAAGGTCCCTTCCAGCCTAACCATTCTATGATTCTGTGATTTGTATTTTATGAATGTAAGAATGCAGATACAGAAATGTGCATCTTACTGATCAGATTTTTAAATCTGAACTCTGCATCTCAAACTTTTCTCTCATCTTAACCACAGAAGACCCAAATCTGCAGTCTCTTCACAACCACAAGTATTTAGCATTTTGCCTGGTTAAAGAGTGAAAGGTTAGGCTCACTGCTCCATCTCTTCACAAAGGCTTTCTGCGGGAGAAAGCGAGCTGGTGAGATGTGGCTTTGGCTGAGTTTCATGTGTTTGGCCTCATAAGTTACAGGGACAGAGCAACCCCTTCACTCTGAGCACAGGGAATGCGTTAGAACAGAGCAGAGTGTGAGCACAGACATGCAAGTCTGCAGGTTCAGTGCTGTGCCTGGGTAAAGGCAAGCAGCAGGGGAAGGCTGGAGCTGGGCTGCCCTCTGTGGTCTGTGCCAGAGGGTGAGGTCGGTGCCGCTGCTGGGAAAAGTCTGCTCTGGCACCCTCTAGTGCTGCCACAGCTGATGCTCTGCATTTGCTCCATCGGTAAGGCTGGATAAATGCAAGCTTTTAACACGCAGTGACTCAGGTGGAACTATCTCCATTACCATTCCTATCCATTGCCTCAGCAGCTGGAATCTTGTGCTTACTCTTATTCTAGGCACCTGAGTGCACAAGCATTTCACTCCTGGCTTAGGCAGCTGAGATTTCCAGGTAGTTTCCCAACAAGACAATAGCAAAGCAGGGGGTCACTGAGCCATCTGAGGTCAAACAACATCCACCACAATCTGTGGGATCTGGCCACTGGTGGACAGGGTGTATTAAACATAGACAGGCTGGATGACAGACTTGTAGCAATTATATCAGCCCCATTGTCACTAACGCACGTTACCCGTTTTGCACATCTCTGCCAACTATTGCACGATCTCAGAGCACTTTGCAATTATCTACTAGTTAACTGTGCTGAGGAGAGGGTGTGTCAGTAGTACTGGAAGGACATCCATGAGCTAGTGATGAAGTTAATCACCTCTCTTTTCTATTCTGCCTCCTTATGGTGTGCAGAAAGGTGTGGCAGGAGGGCTGGGGGCACAGACGTGCTTCTTACTGACTGCTTCAAATTTCCCTGTATCATTTGCACACAGATTTTTAACTTCATTCCTGTCTGTTCTGGATCCCTGAGCAGGAGACTTCCTCCTGCCTGGGACACTGTGTCCAGAGCCATGTGGCAGATGTTTCAGGAATAGGTTTGTATGGCAAACCTCAGGGGGCTGATTGAGGGGACCACTGCGGTCATGGGCCCAACTCCCTGTGTCAAACAGATGGCAGGTGACTGTTCCCTGGAAGTGGGCTGTACCTTCTCCTCACCAGGAGATAATAGGATTCAGGGGTTTACCTCACTTGAGAGAAGAGAGCTGCGGCAAGAAGAGGTAATTCCAGGAGATATGGGAATTGTAGATGAGTGAAAGCAGACTGTTTTGTAACTTGCTTATTTGGAAATCTCAGCTGAGACTTGTTCTCCAGATAGCATCATGACAGAAATGAGATCACTGTTCCTTTTTGTGAAGCACAGTCTGGGCTACAGATGCTAACTTCCCTTAGCATGTGCCATCACATTATTTGTGCTGTGTTTTCACAGAACAGTCCAGGGTTATTCTTTTCAGGAGCTGTGAGAACCACGGAAAGAAATCAAATATGATCTCCCTGTGAAAAACCACAGCTATTGCCTTGCCAATAAAGTTAGTGTGGCACGCCCTAGCCTTGGAGAGCAGAAACAGACTATTCCCAATTACAGAGACAGCCACTCAGTCACTCCCATGGACCCGCACTCTCAGTCTGCCACTCTCACGCTGTTGTGCCCCTACTTCCATAAAGTTTGTCTCCCTAAACTGCCCAAAGAGTCAAGTCAGATTAGTACTCCTGCCGTTTCATCAGTCAGTTATATGGTCAGTTCACGGTTATCCTCCTGAGCCCTGTAATTGCACTGCGATGGAATCCCCCCATGTACAGCCCGTGAGACTGCTCCTGCACAGTGTGGTGCACCCCAAACAAAGCACCTGTTAAAATAATAGAAACCAGTCCTAACCCTGTAGTTAGGAAGTGTTTAAAACTGAAAAAGTCCTCTGGTGGTTCCCAGGACCTGGACTTTTCTTCTGTTGCAGTCACTGCTCCTGAAGCATTCTGCTCCAGTTTTTTCTGTTGAGGAAGGGTTATCCTGTGAACCCTCCTGAGCTGCTGCTCTCTTGGGTGTGTAAGGTTTATAGGCAGAAATGTCAGACCCTGCCTTATTCCTCTAGAAGAGGAAGATTCGAGTTAACATTTTTACAGAAGAGCCAGATACTGAGAGATGAGCCTTCATAGACAAAATGTGACCCAGGAGAGGTTTCTGCACCTTAAGCAGTGCGATAACTTGTCCTTCTCTGCTGGCTTACTCTCCCAAAAACTCTTCTCTCTCCCAAAGTAGTGGAAGGAGGAAAGGACTGACCTGAACGATAAGTGTTATCTTTCAGTGTTACCAGGCTCATCATTCTGCAGTTTAATAACCCCCGTGAGATCAGGTCAGTGCAACTTGTGCGGAGCACAAGGGTTTTCATTAAACAGCAGAGGACCTGGAGCACGAGGCCATCCCTCCCTTGCATGGTTACATGCTTGGCTTGCTACTCTGTCAAGTCTAAGTGGGAGGAAAGAATGAGCTCGGGTAAAAAGAAGCACAACAAGCTTTAAAGTGGCACACAGCTCCTGGAGAAGGTGTGGGAGGAGAAGCTGATAGCGCACAAGCAGCACTGAAATAGCCGTGAAAGGTTGTTGACAATCCACCAGCCTGCAAGCACGTGGAGGAGGGAAATGTATCTGCTGCGATTTTTGCTGAAGTGCCGTGCACCTCTGTTCTTTATACCGTTTGCAGTGGTGTGATGTGTACATGAAACTCTCTCTGACCACATCAGTCTTTCTCTCACACACACGCACGCACAGGCTGTCCTCTGCAGGCACGGGTGACTGCTCCAAACCCTGCGATACGGGCAGGCTGAGAGCACCAAAAGGCTTCAGGGGGTCTTGCTATAGCTGGCACAAGATAACTTGCTTTCTTGCACTTCTGCCAGCACATATAATTCACTTTAAAAGTTGTTTATGGGCAATCTGGGTTCTCATTCACCCAGATGATCCTATTTAATTAAATGGAAATACTCACAAGTCACTGCAAGTAGGGTAAGGAGTCAGACCTCCCTCCCCAAGGGCCAGTGTAAAAAGCATTCTTGGAACAATCTCTCTTCCGGACAACTTGGCCCCAAGCCCTGCCCTGGGCAATACTGGATGGTGTGTTGAGGACAAGCAACGTAAAAAAAAAAAAAAGAATAATAATAATTACTATCATGAGGAAAGGATTAAAACCTTGGGGTTTGAATAAGGATAAACCTAAAAACTTTTTTCTTTTCTTAAAAAAAAAAAAAAAAAGGAAACAAAGCCCATATAAATCTTTATAGGCCAAAGACCATGGGTTGAACATGAGCTCTTACCGTTGAGGGCTGCAGAAAATCTATACCAAGGTAAATCAGGCAGGCAAGCAGTAATATCCACTGAGCAACCGCGGACACGAGATGCAGCGTGTTCCTAACCTGTCCTCTTTGCCAGCTCTTCCATTCATCCTCAGCACATTCCCTTTTGCAATCCATCTGCTCTTCATTTCTTGGCTCTGCTTCTGGCTGTACTTCCATCTCAGCCTCACTGCCAGCAACTGCTGGAGAAGGGGTCAGGAGCACAGCAGGAGCCCAGAATGGGCAGGAGATGGAGGAGCTGTGGGCTCCTGTCCCAGGAGCAGAGATGAAGTAAAGACAGTGCCTTCAGGAGCCTGCTTTATGCACCCAGAGAAGCAGGCGGGGGAACTTCTTTGTGACTAATCTAAATTTCCCCTTCCTTCCTTTCTTTATTTTCTTTTTTTTTTTTTTTTCTTCTTTTTTTTTCTTTTTTTCTTTTTTTTTTTTGGTGTGTGTGTGAATGTGGGGGCTGATTTATTGCATCCCAGTTCAGTTTTGAGTAAGGGCCTTTGAAAGGAGATATGTTTATGTCTTTCATAGCTTCAACTGTGGACATCTTCGTATGTCATCTTTCCAACAACAGTGAAATGTTGGGTGGATAGTTCTTGTCTTCACTCAGTCTTTTGTCAGCAAAAGCTCTCACATTTCTGTTCAGCCTCAGATTGGGGGTTTATAGGGCTGGCCCTTTTTAACATCATATAATGCTCCTGAAATCTCTTTTCTGTAAAGAAGCAATGAATAGCAAGAGATGTGGGACAGGTGGATGGCATAAGGAATTGGAGAGAAAACATGTGCTTTCCTTTTCTCTTCACACTTCGTGTGTGAACTTAAAGCCATGAGATGCTGCACAAAGCCTAGGAGGGAGAAAATGGAGAACTGCTGAGGGAACATCCCTTTTTGCACACACTGGAGCCTGTAGTCCAGGGAATGCACTGAGAGGGGCATTCCCAGGCCATCCAGGCTTCCCTACTGGAAGAGGATTGCCTGTCCCTCTGGACACCACCACCTCTCCTACGCTTGCTCTCCTTGTGACATTTGCTTCTGATACACAGAGCTGCTAAATGTCAGTTGCCTGCATCATGGACCACCTCCTGTGCTTATTTTGGACAGGCTTTGTGTCCTTTTTTGGGGGCAGTCCAGCACTGCTCTTTCCACTGCTCTTTTTGCCGGATTTTTTTCTGTTATAATTACCATATCGTGACTGAGGTCAGGCGCTGCCTTCTCCCAGATCAAGCCCATTGGGAGTTTTATCATCTATCTGGCTTCCAGGGATGAGCTGTCAGAAAGTTTCCCTTCCCCAAAATGTGCTCTTTCAACCTGTCACAAGGCACATGTCCTGACAAGCATGTAACCTGCATGCAAAAGAAGCAAGGGTAATGTTCTTTCATGTGTTTTTCCACCTGGGCAAGGATATTTCCTGTGAACACAAACCAGATGAAGGGGGGAGTCCAGCAGCTGGGTAGGCAACATGCCATGAGGACACCCCATGCTCACTATCCTTGCTCTTGAAAAATAACCTGGAATTGCAGGTAGCTGGTGGATTGAGTCTGGAATACACTCTGGTATTTGTCTAGAGAGCACACCACAGGGCATGGAAACTTAGTGAAGAAGGTTCAGCTTTTACATGTTCCACTGGCTTTTGAGTGCACTGAAATTCTCATTTCCCTCTTGCCTGGGTGTGCTGGAGCTCCCAGCTGAGCCCCAGCCTGAAGGGGGTCCTGGGAACAGCCCTGGCCCTCCTTCCTCCACTAGAAATATGACTGTAGTCGTGGCAAGGAGGGTTTGTGCTGTCTCAGAGCAGTTCCCTTGGATGCAGAGTGTGAGTTTGGAGGCAGGACTTTGGCACCTGGTGGTCACACAGCCACACGGGGCTCAGCACCATCCGTGATAGACCTCAGGCTTGCCCAAGCCCTGCAGAGGAGAAAAGGGGTACCTTGATGTGCTGTGAGGGCCTGCTGGGGCCAGAGGGATGTGGAGAAGATTGTTTTCTCCCACGGATCTGCAATGTCATGTCTAGGTCCCCAGAAAAACATTCACCCTACTTGCATCTCTGGTGTCTATCTGTAAGGGGCTTGGTGGTGTGTGTGAGCCCACAGAGACCCTGGAGATGGGGAAACCTCAAATGTGGCTTCAGAGGAGCTTCCTGGTGGGGAACAATTCCAGGTCTGGGTCCTTCCTCCACGGGCAGAGGTCTCCTGCAAGAGGCCACATGCAGCACAGACAGATGTCAGGGGTGGCTGGGAAGCTGGGTCCCAGCTGTCCCGGTCCCACAGCAAAGGCAAAACAGGCTCAGAGGGGCAGAACAAGCAAGTGCCTCCTTGTGCTTGGAGGTTCCTACTGTAAGGATGGCTCAGGGTCAGTGTCTACAGACCCCCATCACTTGCAGTCCCCATGACACTGCAGCTGAAGGGGCAGGCACAGAGCAGGGCATGGGGCCAGGGCTGCCCCGTACCTGCAGTCCCACCTCGTAGCACCAGCCACCAGTGAGTGTCTGCAGGGGCAGCGAGTGTCTGCAAGGGCAGCCAACTGCAGGTCTGGCAGAGCCTACTGATGAACTTGTCAGTGTTTCAGTGGGGAACCACAGAATGAGAGTGCGCAGTCATTGGGCCATGGCTGCCTTCCTGGAAGAGCAGGCACTGCCGTGTGTCAAACTGGCATTGCCGTGTGTCAGAGCAGCTCTGTTGAACACAGACAGCCTGACCTCTTCTACCCTGAGTGCTCCCAACCTGCTCCCTCCAGAAAAGGCTTGCTGCTCACTGCTGAGTTTCTGCAAATATGCCAGGATGCTGAGCTAAGCTGTCCCAGACTCCTGTGCACCTCTAATTCTCACCTTTTTGTGTACGTACCTTTGAACCAGATGCAAGCTCTTGCCCATATCCATCTCCTCCCTCCTCAGCTCTGGATTTTGTACTGGTTTTGTTTCTAAAACTCTGAAAAGAAAAAAAAATGGAGGTGAAGGTTGTGCTTATGTGTTTCTGAAATTGCCTTGTCATTTCTCTACTCTCCCAGTGCAAGTGTTGCTCACCCTGGGTTAGCAGCACTGGTAGAACAGAGGATCAAAAGCTGCATTTCAGGTAACATCCCTGGCGTTGTATCCGAAACAGGAAAGAGGACAGCTCATTCAGGGGCATCACAAACACCCCTGCACAGACTCTTATGTGGTTTTAATTGCTTTCAGCTTGTCTTCCTGCCCTGCATATTGAAATCCAAGTGCAGGCCACTTGGTGGCTGTCAGAGACCCTGCTTGTCCTGAGAGGAAACCTTTGGAATCCTGACACATCGCAGACATGCTGCACACACCCGGCATTTGCTAGAATTTGCTGCATTCATCAAAATTATTTTGGTTCCTCTTCCACAGGGCTGGAGCCTCTTGGGGTTAGCCTTAATCTTTTGCAGTCATCAAGCTATTCTAGTGAGCAGGCAGGGCAGGGATGGCTTTGGGGTTCCGTGAGCCTGTTGGTGCTCTGGTTGTCTTTTTAAGTCTTCTAAAGAAGTGCCTCTTGGTTGCACATGCAGCAATGTTATTCCAGCAAGGACTGAAGGAAACCAGAGTTAGGTGATAGTATGACTTGCTGGTGTTTAGTTGGTTGGTTGGTTGTGGGGGTTTTTTTTACAGCAATCCAATATCTTTTACCTTAGGCTGTCATTTCTGAGCTTTCCCAGACCGAGAAGCTGAGTGTTTTAAAAACCTTGACAAAAGAATGCTGGTCAGTCAAGGCTAAATCCTTCAGTGTCATGGTTGTACCAGCACTCAGCTGCCCCAGCCTGCCAGTACCCCAACCAGCAGGACAGGGCATAGAGCATCCCCACCACAAACCAGAGCCCCTGGCCCATGGGGAGCTCCACCCGTGTGTGGGAGTCACGGGGCAGGGACCTCGGCCCAAGGACTGGCACCCACCTTGATTTAGCTCTTATTTCTTGGGAAATTGCTCTCACCCCCCACAAAAGGAGAAACTGGGGAATTATACAGGAGAGTTTAACTTTACATCTCAGAACAGTGGAAGAACCAATTAACCTGTTTGTAAATATCTGGAAGGAAAAAGGAAATAAGTAGCAACTGGTATGAGTTTCCAAGAACAGAACCTGATCTTGTCTGTGGGACAGAGAAACCTCTTGGGCAGAGGAGTAGCTATGGGTATTCACTACACCTTCAGCAGCAGTTTTGACTCTCTTTTTCATAAGATCCATGGAACATGGTCTGTATGAAACTTTTGCTCAGCAGGCGTGGAGCTTGTTGAGTAATTATTGATGGTTTGTTGACAAAATGTAAGGATATACCTTGTCCTTCCAGGAATTCCTTGGGAATCTTCTTGACTCTCTGGCAAGCCCAGCAGGAATGGGGACACACTCACAGGTGGGATCTCAGCTCTTGCTGGCATTTTTTTACCTATAATTTAAAGGTTTGGCCTGCACTTGGAGAGCAGTGCTGTTACTCTCATTGCTGCACTCAAGTAATACAACTTACACCTGGTGTTGGGTTGTCTTCTTGTGTGTGGTTACCTGTTTTCCACCAAGGAATTTGCCCCAGGAATAACTGTGATAACATGGTGTGATTTAGTAAAACAGTCAGAAATAGCAAAGGAAACCTTTGAGAGGGAGAATATCAAAGTGTTAGAAAGGAAAGACTTTTGTGTGCCCCAGCTACTGCTCCTTGCCCACTCCAGAAATAAAGTATTTTATAACTAAGCCAGATTTATTTATCAAATTCAAGGAATTTTATCTAAACAGTTCGTAAATTCCTGCTTCGGTGTCTCTGAACCAAATGAACTGTCTCTCTCCCTTAATCATCAGAGATATTAATGTCTTTCACATTTAGCACATCAAGAATCTGTTGATTCCTGACTGATCTTAGTTGCTCAAGTCACCCTAAAGTGGAAAAATATTATACAGTCCTTTGCTAAAATATCAGCATAGATATGAATCTGAGCTGAAAGGTTATTCTTTGAAGTGGCGAGTGGGGAGGCCCTTTAAAAATTCAAGAGTTGGACCTGATGATCCTTGTGGATCCCTTTCAACTCAAGACATTCTCTGAATCTGTGATTGATTTCGCTTCCATGTGGCTTTTTCTTGTTCCTTACATGTAGCCACTGTTCAGCTGATGTGCGTGTCAAGGATTTCTGCTAGCAGAGGCATTGAGCCAATAAGGAGTTTATATAAGTCAGGATACTTTTGGCAGTGTA